CACACACACACACACACACACACAGAGCCATGTTGGGTGGAGAGTTTGGGATCATAAAAGAAAAGAAAAAGATGGACTAAGGATCTCCAGAAATTCCAGATAGTCAAGGAGGAAATCGGCATAGTCAAAGATTTCCCCCTACCTAGATCCTAGGATCAAAGATTGATCAGAAGCAGGCTGACCAGATGTCCTCACTACTGCCAAGGAGGAGGAGACACTGCATAATGGAGGACATTCAAGGAAAAAATGGAGGACGTGCCCGAATGAAAGCTAGAAACACTCATATAAAAATACATTCGTAGTCATGCTCAGAATGGAGGAGATTTTGGAATTCCTCCTGGACAGAAGTACAGGGCATGTCTTGGGAAAGGAGGAAGTCTGGTCACCCTGGATTAGAAAGGAGACCACAGTCAAGAAAATCAAGACTAAGGAATGGGAAGGGCAGCCATGAAAGAACTGGACAAGATCCTAAAGTGTAAAGCTATACAGCTGAGCACTAAAGTGGGCATGGTCCAAACCGTTGTGTTCCTCATCGCCATATGAGGGTGGGAGAGCTGGATAGGGAAGAAAGCAGATAGAGAGAAAATCAACTCATTTGAGATGAGGAGATGCTGGGGAAGAGTGTTAAGGATATGGTGGGCAGCCAAAAAGACAAGCAAATGGGTTCCGGAACAGATCAAGCCAAATTCTCTCTGGAAGCCAAGATGGTCAAATTGAGGCTGTTGTACTTGGGCCACATCATGAGAAGATAGGAGCCATTGGAAAAGACAGTAATGATAGGAAAGGTGGAGGGAAGTAGAAAGAAAGAAAGACTGCAGGCCAGATGTATAGATTCAATCAGGGAAGCCAGGGGCCTGAATTTACAAGACCTGAGCAGACAAGGGATCTTGGAGACGTCTCAGTCACAGGGCTGCCATGAGTCAGGGTCAATTAAGGGACAACAGCAAGCTTTCCTCCTCCTGTTCTGAGCTTGATCGTCAGCTGAGGAAAAGAAGGGGTGGGGTGGCATGTGGAAGGAAGAGGAAGAATGATGTGAATACAGGGTGGGGTGAGACCCTCTCATCCCAGATTCTCAGTTCTTGGAGGGTGAGAGGAGAGGGGTGACGCAGGAAATGAGAAGGAGAGCAACTGGGAAAAGAAACGCAGGTGGCCTATGTACCCTAAAAGGTACCAGATCCCACTGATTTTGGTAGCAAAGCCAGGTCAGCCCTGGTTGGTACTTGGGTCAGAGACCACCAATGAAAACCAGGTGCTGTGTACACTGTATTTCAGAGGAAGGAACTAGCAAACTGAGAGCCAGTGTGGTGTAGTGGTTTGGGTGTTGGGCTAAGATTCTGGAGACTAGGGTTCAAATCCCTGCTCAGCCATGGAAACCTGGGTGACCTTGGGCAGATCATACTCTCTAAGGCTCAGAGGGAGGTAAAGGCAACTCCCCTTTGAACAAAGCTTGCCAATGAAATCCCATGATAGGTTCACCTTAGGGTGCCTGTAAGTCAGACATGGATGGAAGGCATATGAGGTATACAACAACAACAAATTGGCAACACCTAACTTCTTGCCTAAGAAAACTCTATGAAATTCATGGGGTCGCCATAAATTCACAGATGAGTTGAAAGCACATAAGCAGACACAGGTGATAGGAGGGTCCATTCTCAGGTGGGATATGTGTAGGGGTGAGAGACCAAGGGCAAAGGAATCAAGAGAGGGACTCAAAGATGTCTCAGTCCTGTTGCCTGGACCTGATGAGAACCTGGCTGGAGGCCAAACCGTTCTATCTCTGTCACACCCTGACACACTTCTCTGCCCTTACTGCTGCTGGGTTTTTGCCTAGATTGTACAAATGTGTCTCTTGACAAAACTAGCTGGTGTCTTCATAAATACAGAAACACTCATGAGCAGAATTTTGGAGTGATGGTTCTCGGGAGATCTGAGGAACAAGCCAGCCCTACTATTTGTTGCAGCCACCTACAGATGGTGGCTTCCATGTTATTAAGGTAGAGAATCTGGCTCTAGTCCAAACTGTAAAAGGGCTGTCCTAGATTCTGAACCAATTTTAGTGGGCTGGGGTTTAGTACCATTGCCAGTGCCTGTGAAGTTTGGAATAAAACCCAAAGACAAATGACTGCCCCAAAGACATGGAAACTATTACCTGGCACTGGCCAGAATGAGGTAATTGCCTCATGTAGCAAGGGCTGGGAGACAGTGGACAGATGTTGGAGAAGATAAATGCCTTTAGTTGAGTTGGAGGATGCACACCTATCACCAGTGTTGAGGAAAGATTTACCTACCCAGTCCATTGGATTTTTAAGCATGACATGGACAAGAAGGGAGCCATCTTAATTCTTTGCCTTCTGCTGGCCTTGGGTGAAACTAAGGACAGTCTTCCCCAACACAGTGCCCACCTGATATTTTAGAGTACAGCTTCCAGCTTGCTTCACCATTCCACTGCTGGCTGGGGATGTTGGTGGGTGTAGTTCCCCTGTCTCTGGAGGACCCAACATTATGTAAAGTTGCCAGTGTGTCTGTACCTTCAAGTCACCTGTCAACATATGGTGACTTCATGAATTTTAATAGGATTTTCTTAGGCAAGGAATCCTCAGAGGAAGTCTCGCCACTTCCTTCCTCTGAAATATTGCCTACAGCACATGGTATTCACTGGCAGTCTCCTATTCAGGTACTAACCAGGGCTGACCATGCTTAGCTTCGAAGATCAAATGGGATCTGGTGCCTAGGGTTGGTTGTTGTTGTGTGCCTTCAAGTTGTTTCCAACTTATGTCCTTAAGGCAAACCTATTATGGGGTCTCCTAGGGCTGAGACTGTGTGACCCACCCAAAGTCATTCAATAGGTTTCCATGGACAAGAGGGAAATCAAACACTGATCTCCAGAGTCGTAGTCCAACACTCAAACCACTACACCATGCTAGCTCTTTAGCATATAGAAGCACTACCATTATCTGGAGGGTGCAGAACCTACATGGGTTTGGTGGAGGATGAATGCTTTGATTCCAGAGTCCAGAGCAGCCATTGCCCTCCTAATTTGAGATCGTTCAGATGTGTTGGACAGCACACACACCCATTTTTGTATCTCATGACAAATGTTTTGTCTGTGGCAGAATTCAGTCAAAGGACAAAGCAGTCTTCACACAGCCTACCCTCCATCATGCCAAGGGTGTGAGATGCTTGTCCAGCTTCTCTATCTTATAGGGCAGAAGAGAGTTTGGTTGTCCACACAGGCACAGAAAAGGATCCTGGTGCCTTTAGGCTTGTGATGTGCAAAACTGCATGATGATGAAGCTTAGCAGCTGGGAGCAGGGGAGGAGGGATGGAGGAGACAAAACATAGAAAGAAGAAGGCAGAAGCAGCTTCCAGAGCAGGGCATCGATGTGTGCAGGGGCAGGAGGGGAAGGAGAATCTGAAGGTAAGGTAAAATGAGGTGAGCCAGCAGACATCAGATTAGATCAGCTTTCCTCAAGCAGACCTCTACAGATGTTGGCTGCAATGCCATCACTCCTCTGGCAGAACTGGCCCAAAAACATTTTAGTGTGCAAGGCAGAGCAGCAAATGACACCACCCAGCTGCCCACTCAAGTCAAGGTATGATGTTCCTGAAAACCAGCCAGGCTATTTAGTGCTTATGTGGCATTAAAAAATTGACAAGCATCTCTCTCCCCTCACATGCCTGGTAGAAAAAAAATGGACAGTGAAAAACTGGGCCAGGATAGTGTAATGATTTGTCAGCTGGATTCTGGGAGACCAGGGTTCAAATCTCCTCTCAGCCACGGAAACTCATTTGGTGATCTTGAGCAAGTCAAACTCAATCAGCGCAGGGATGTCACTAGGGGATACAGGGGGTGCCAACCACACCAGGTGACACCCTAAGGGGTTGTGTGACACCACTGCTACCCAAACATTTGCCTTTGGGCAGAAATAGCTGTGGTGTTTGCCTGTCTCCCTTTAAAATATTGAAGATATGGGGTGAGTGGGGTGAAGCTCAGTGGGAGGAAAAAGGATAGACTCCAGGTTTTAAAAAAATTAAATTAATTTTTCAACATTTTATTTATAAAGATCAAATTTTAACATTAACCACATGAAACTGTGTACATGTGAATACATTTAGGATATGCATATGTTATTGCAATTTTAAAGTATACTTTTAATTTTGCTAGTTGGTTTATGTCACAACTTTTGCCATTATATTCAGTGATATATGGGAATTAGGACTTATGAATTACTTGAGTACAAAAAACATTGCTAAGGATTATGTATGGTGTGATATGGGAGGAGGTCAAGGGGGGAGTAACACTGTGAGTTACCACACCAGATGACACCAAACCTAGTGACACCACTGGTTGCAATCCCTGAAACATCTAAAGGGCCGTATATTCCCCACTTCCAAATTAGCTCTATACTAAATACAATTTAATTGCTTCTCCATTCACTAAAGTAAAGCCCATACCAATCCCCTTCTGTAAGACACTCAAATTCAGTTTTAACTGAAGCCAGAGGTTCCCAGCTCTTGTTCCTGGCACAAGAGATGTAACCGAATTTTCTTCTCAGCTTTTTCCTGGTGTTTGGCATAGTACTGTTAGATATTCTCCAAATATTCAGGAAAAATGCCAAATATGGGATCTTGGCATCTGACATCTGACTGTATCTGATTTCAGCATTTTATATCAAAAAGTATTTGATAACTGACAACTAAGGGCATGCTGCTTCTGACAGTGGACATACAACTGCATTTGGTATTTGACAGTTTATGTTTGACACCTGCCAACATTGAATTAAAAAGAGAGGTTTGCACAAGCCCAAAGCACCTGCCCTCTGATTTCTGAAGTACAGTTTCCACAATGCACCTCACCAATTCTCCAGTTGAGCTTCTTGATTTTGAAACATCTGATGAGGGAAACTGCAGGCTTTGAGTATTTATTTATTTATTTAATAATAAATAAATAATAATTAATAAATAAATGCTGCCTTTCTCCCAAATTGGACCCAAGGCAGTTCACAAAAGATGCTTAACAACAACAAGAAGAAGAACAACAACAACATAGTACAATTTTAAAACACAATTAAAACACCACTTTAATATAAGAAATAGAAAAATGTAAAATATACTAAGTTAAAAATATAAAACCATTACAAACCAAGTCCTGCAAACCAAGCCCTAGAGGAGTGACTTAGGGAGCTGGGTATGTTTAGCCTGGAGAAGAGAAAGCTAAAAGGTGACATGACAGCCATGCTTAAATGTTTGAAGGGATGTCATATTGAGCTTGTTTTATGCTGCTCCAGAGACTAGGACACAGAGCAATGGATTCAAACTACAGGAAAAGAGATTCCACCTAAGCATTAAGAAGAACTTTTTGATGGTAAGAGCTGTTCAACAGTGGAACACGCTGCCTCAGAGTGTGATGGAGTCTCCTTCTTTGGAGATTCTTAAACAGGGGCTGGATGGCCATCTATCGGGGGTACTTTGTTTCTGTGTTCCTGCATGGCAGGGGGTTGGACTTGATGACCCTAGAGGTCTCTTCCAACTCTATGATTCTGTGATTCTATGAAAAACATACCAAAGCAAACATCCCAATAACAAGCCTCCCTGGGCGCAATTGCCTGTTAAAAGTTTGCTTAAATAAAAAATGTCTTTGCCTGCCAGCAAAAGGAAAGCAGGGAAAGGAACAGCCTAGCCTCCCATGGAAGGAAGTTCCAGAAGGTGGGAGTAGCCACCAAGAAGGCCCTCTCTTGTGTCCTCACCAGGCGAGTTTATGATGGTGGCAGGACCTTCTTCTGTAGATCTTAGAGTTATGGCAGGTTCATGTCGGGAGATACAGTATGCATTCTGCTAATGTTCTAAGGACTTGACTTTAAGCTAGGGATCGGAAGTGGACACAATATAGAAATATCCCAAATATGGAACTATAATGCAATTAGCAATCAAATAGCCTTCTATTGGAGCAACAGTTACTTCTATAGCAATTGTCAGGACCTTGCTATCGGATATACTGTACAACAATGTAATTATAACTGTTAATAACTTATTTAACAATATAAACACAATGTATAACTATAAAGAAACAGTTTGCATATATCTGCAAAGTTTATAGAAAAATATGCCACCCCTCCATCTGTAACTAGGTTTGTAATAAATTATTGAATAGATGTTCAGTCAGCAGTGTTTTAAGACATCCAAACCATGGAGGCAAGTCTTTCTTTTTTAAGACAACCAAGCCCTGGAGGTAAGTGTTTCTTCCAAGGAACAGCAGCAGAGGTGAGAGGCTTGAAAGTGAAGTAGACATGAAGTAGTAGTGGCAATAAAGAGCTTGATTACTCTTTGATTCAACAACATTTGGAACCCACACAATTCCCACCCTAGC